TTCTCATTTACTCTGACGATGGCTTCTCGTGTGGAGCCGAAAGCTCAGAAAACTATCGTTCCGGAGATCGCGTCTTCCTCTTCTTTACAACAAGAACTTGGGGCACGCATATTCGCTTCTATTCGTGAGATAAATATTTAAAAAAATTCATTTTGGTATTGGCGTTTTAGCAATAAGGCTTTCGTCACAATAGACAGGTGGTCTTGTAAAGCTGATGTTCAGCATAATATTATAACGCCAATTGTTGCACAGACGCATGTATTTAATAAGTGTTGGTACTACAATTTTAACATTTAAGACCTAACATTTGCGGGTAATGGGTTAATTTATGCGCAGTTTCTACAAAATTTAAAAAAATGAGTCATTTAATAGGAAGATAGAATGCAGTACTGTACGATATACGTGACGGAGACGATCAAACGCAGGGTCATGGAACTTGTTTTCTGGGTTTTTTGTATCCATAGAACCAGGTGAAGGCGTGATATTCGTATCACTTATTTACCGTCCTGAGTATATCTGCTGCTCCGAATGTCGCCCCTGCGTACTCAAGAGTTTTTAATCGGCAAAGTAAAATTTATGGACCCCATTTTTCATTAAATACCCAATAATCTCATGTAGAAATATGAATTTTACAGTGCAGTCCTAAGCCTACAATAAGAGAAGCCTGCATTTTAAGAAGCTACATATTATCTTGCTTTTTCAAATTATAAGGGCTTGTCTCGATACGAGCGTGATAATTACCTGAATTGCCCTTCAGTACTGACAGGGAATGCATGTCCTAAATTTATTCAGCTGTATTCAGTTGACGTTGGGGGACATACACTTGCGCATTTTCTTTTTTAAGCATTCTTATTTTACAATTGAAAGGCAGCTGGAAGGAAATATAACCTACGTGGTTCCAAGTGGCTAGGCAGCAATATGAAAACTTAAACTACCAATTCAAACTTTCCCGCGCGGCTTTTGTTTGTTTCGTCTGTTCTTGGGCTCTTTTGCCATCAAGGGTAATGCTTGTTAATTTTTAGAGGTTACAGAGCGACCACTAATGTACCCGGCTTAGTAGCGGAACTGTTCGGAAATTTAAGTAGAGCAGCAGTTTGTTCATTCGGTGAATGATGCCTTCTTGTGTGTGTGTGCCATCTAAATATACTAATACCGATAGCTAATTTACAAATTCTGAGGTCTTTGCGTTATTGTCTCCAACAAACCCAACTTACTGGTTAACTGTCTATTCCAATCACTTTCGCTATGCCTGCTAATTCTTTTTGATTTTCCAAAGCTACTAATGTTTGTTTTACCTGCTAGCATGTTTTAGGTATTCGGCCTTATAATAACTCAGCGCCTCCTTGGACTCCGACTGTTCGAGAGCATTTAACTGGGGAAGGGAATCGTGGGACAGCTAATTGTTTCTAGGCTTCTTTTTTTCATTTCTGGGCAACCACTTAAGCCTGCCTTCTTTCAGTAACTCAGCTAAGAGGCCTTCCTTAATTTGCGCAGTTGCTGGAAATGACGAGAGCAAAATGACGCCAACGCCGGTCGAGCGTACATGTATGGGGCGCACGCTCTCATTACAGAAAAAAATCCGGTACAC